CGGTCAAATCGTTAAATTAGCGTTTTGTTAGAAGAGCTGAAAAAAGAACACCCCCATGTATGTATAACCATACACTTGTCTTCCACAAGTAGAAGTTAAAAAGACATGAGATCCCGTTCGAGTGGGGGAGTTAAAGATGCACGAAGTAGGATTTAAGAATTATGATGATGGGGTAAAATCTTTTTAAATCAGAGATGCCCAAAGGAAATAAATAAAAGCTAGGTTTAGGAATTAGGGGGTGGATAACAACTTTTGAAATATTTGTACCAGTGTTTTAAATACCGTACCGGTGGTCATACCGGTCTAGCCACCGATACGCGGTATTATCGGTCGGATCGGTAATATCGGTGGTATTACCGGATTAGTAAATATAATTATATATATAAATATACATAAAAATATATAATACTAAATGCAAAAAAGTAAAAAAATAAATGACCATAATCATTAATTTCAACTTCTCAATGAGATAAAAATAAAACATTTAAACTACCAATTTAAATTTTATTTTTTTAAGTTAAATTTTTTTTTTTATTTTTTTTTCTGGCCGGTATTTTGGACCGGTATTTTGCGGTTTTTACGGTATGATCCCGGTACAAACTGGTATAACCGTAAATTCGGTATTTTGAGTATAATTGTACCGTACCAATGGTCGGTATCCAGTATTACCGGTATTACCGGCCGGTACGGTACGGTATTTAAAACATGGATTTGTACTGACAAAGATGGATTCCAAACATCTACTTAATAAACATACTTTAATGGCTCATGTTGTACTCCACCTATGTGTGCTCAAAATGATGGTTGTAAGGATCAAGAAAGCTGCAGGAACAAATTCTCGCCCATTTTGTCTTAAAATATACCCTAGGCATGTGTCAACCGTCAAACAGAGAAATGTTGCGCTTTTTTAGACATTCTATGCAAGCTTTATTTAGCAACTCGCCCATCAAAACACATTCATTTCAGGCAAAGTTTAAAAAACTGCAGAGTTTAATAAACTGCCTTGTCTAATTTATGTATGCTTGAATATATGTTTAACAAAATAAGGGATTTTGTTTTCTAAGCACCGTCTGCCCAATAGTGATGCCTTTTCAAAGTGTAGAAATCGCATTATTTTTAATAACAAAAGCCGAGCCAAAATAGAAATTCGCACCTCATTACTCTATTTTTTCAGTCAGATTCAGCCAAAAGGGGCTTATAAATGACACTAATGCGTTCAACAGTTACTGAAAGTAGATTGAATTTACAACAATGTGATTGCATTAGATTGAATTCAGCTAAGTCTCTCCTTTCTGAGCCTCTCGAGTTCTTTCACCATTTGCCAGTGCTCCATGGACAGACTCGTCTCACCAAAGCTCACCGACATAAGGCGGCCCATTGTAAGCCATCTGAAATTCATAAACACAAAAATAAACAATTGTAATCAACAATGATTTGCCTTAAAATGAAACCAAAATATATATAAATATATATATTTTGTTTTGTGACCACTTGTTACCTGCTGAATTCATGGCTGCCTAAACTTCTGTCAGCTTGCCTGGCAGCAACTAAATCATCTTCGACAATCTATAAGTTGATCATAGAAGAAAAATTTATGCCAATTTGCTTGAAAACCTACTCGAAAACAAACAATCTATGCACAATAAAGTAACCCAGTCAAAAACACCATTTTAACAAACTCTTCAAAAAAATAAATAAATAAATAAACTAACGGCAGTAAAAGGGCTAGAAACAAATTTTATTCCAAAAAATACAAATCTTATCGTACGACATTCAAGATATGTACATATCTGTGCAAGTTACGAAATACCCGAGTTCAGCATATTTTTTTCTTTTCATAAGAACTTAGTATACCAGCAAATCGTAAATACCTCCTGAACGCCATGGATATTCCTAACCTGATAAATATCTCCTTCAATACTTGAAGGAGAATAACTGCATTTTTTAAATATTAAACTTGGGAACTTTTGTAACAAAACCAAATATCATTTCTTTATTTTGTTGGAGAGCTCAAAGAACCCAGCATACTAAATGAAAAAGGAGCCAGATTGTGACAGGGAAAATCATGCATGTAAACCTGGAATTTAAGACTTAATTCTGACCTTCTGCATATGTGGCTCAATCGAATGACACAGAGACTGCATGGTAGCCAAATACCATCTCCAAGCATTCAACATTTCTTCATTCACTACTGAACTGCACCCGACTGAAGATGGATAAAGAGGGAGAACAAGATCAGCTGGCAGGATGTTTGATTTCCCATCAGACAGGATCAGCAGTTGAATATTCGCAGCCATCTCCATTTTATAATATGTGAAATCATACTCAACCTGGAGAGCAGAATAAAATTCTATAATAAGCAACCTTATTCAACTGCTGTCACAAATTCAAGCAAGGAACATCTAATGTAAATCGACCTTCTGCAACTCCATCATGTTTTTCAAAATTCTTGCATTTTCAACCCCAGTTGAGTTCAGGATTCCAGTCTGTAATAGGGTCTCATCAATGATTAGGTGCGAACCTTCAGCTAACTGCAGAAACCCAGGTACCAACCTGTGCACAGGACCTAACTTCATTACAATGTCTTTCAAGTCAAAGGATAGAATAGAACAATAACAAAAGAAAAATATTCTGAACAATTAAGGAACTATATTTATCTGATGATTGCCTGTTTGTGCTGTAATCCTTCTTCGGGGCAAGGGAAACAGTGTTGAGATAATCGATTGTAAGAGGCAGGCATTGCGTGAAAGGTACAAGGTTCTCTATAGCACATTTGAGATGATTCCCAAACACAGACATACTTTCTTTGCCAAGGCAAGTGAGATTTAGAGATAACTTGCCTACAGCAATTGAATCTACTCTTGCGTGCACCTGCACACAAATTCATTTAATAATGCTATTAAATATCCCAAAGTTACGCAGTAAAAAGAAGAGAGCAAGACTGTCTAATTTTTCCCAGAAAATAATTATTGAAGGAGCTTGCAGTTGCAATATCAAAGGCATTCAGTGCTTTGTATTGTTGTAGTCAGCAAAAGGTAGGATCTTTGATACCCTGGATAACAGGTGCAATAACATGTATTCAGCTGCCATCCTGTCATTTCCAAGAACAGCAGCAAGATGTCCAATAAGAGATTCACGAACTTCTTTAATTGCACTGGGCGTTAACTGCCATATTATTTATAACCACACAGAATGTTAGAAAGATGTGAGCTACCCGAGAACACAACGGGTTTAACTGCAAATGCAGAACTAGCAGAAGAATTGAGTAAGGACTAAGTTTAAGCTTGCAGAACTCACTTCCCACTGAGGGCTCAAAATATAATCAGTAGCCTCAAGCTTCCGGTGTAAAACACAGTGAAGTCGAGGCACCTGCAGTTACAACAAAATACTACCTCAGTAGAGTGGAACAAATCTTATGTCCAATTCTTACGAGTGAAATAATATTAATTATCAAGTTGCAATATTTTTCCTTTAACATGGTACCTGAATCTAGTCTATTGTTATTTTAAATAAACATGTAAATGATGTAGCTTTAGAATAAAAATGTGAGTAGAACATGACTTCAGTCACCAAGTTAGAGGTGCAATATCCAGGTTTAATTTATTAATGATGAAAGGCAAAACAAAGACCTCAAGTCAAAGCTAATAGGCCTGCATATATATAACGGAGTTTGTATGCAAGAGCATTAGCTTCAACAATAATCAGCCAGCCAGTCTGTAGACAAACAAAATCAGTTTAACAAACTATGACTAAATATTAGAAAGATACATTGTTAGGAGGTAGATGAAGTAATGAATCTTCAAAGTTCTCTGTCAGTTCATCATCATCATCATCATCTCGTTTTACAGTGGTATCCGGATCAAAAGTGAAGATGCCAACAAACTCAAAAACATCATTTAGCTTCAAGTTCGTTTCTGGAGAGTCATATATCTGCAGATTTCAACATTGAGATCATAGTAAGTGATAATTAACATTTTAACTGTTTAAGCTGGATATTAGGTAAGACATTAGTTAACCTTCACTAGGCAGGAGAAAGAACTCTTTTCAACAGGAATCAAACCAGAACTAGTAGAGCTTCCTTCAGATACATTATTCTGCAAGTTTAACGACTCTGGAGCCAATCCTTCATCCCTCTAATAATAGAAAAGATGGGAGAATTAAATATTCATAGCTTAAGCAAAATCAAAGATTGGTAAATTAGGTTTATTTTAATTTTAATACAAACTACAAAAATAAAAATAGCCACTTCTTGAATAAAATTATGTACCACGTAATCAAATTATATTTAGAAATACAGGTTTGGATAATCAGAATATTATCAATGCATGAATGAAAAAGGTGAAGAAAAGGACAACGCATAATATATGAAATTGCTTTTACTCACCATCCTTTTAGCATTTGGAGAATCCTCAGGGACACCACCTGCCTCCTGTCAATAAATGTAACTTTGATGAGCAAACATGTTTAGTTTTACTAATTTCCATATCAAAAATTCACAACTAAAGAGACATGCAGTATTAACCTTCACGATGATTCAAATTATTTAAGTGGAATTAAAGTAATGAATTTTGTTTGTCTAAATTTAGCTCCTTAATTAACAGATTGAAGTTAAAAATATAAACAAAAGGGGTACCACAACATCAACATCACTCATGGTTGCACCATTTTCCCTCTGGCGCTTCTCCCTTTGCGGGGATATATAATTTGTGTACACATTCTTCATAGATTCATTAGAAGATTCAACCCATGAGTTCTGCCCTGGAACCTAAAACAAGAAAGTCAAATGATAATAAGAATTTAAATTGCCAACAGCCATCACCTTCACTGAAGACAACACAACAATTCAAATATAACCGAACAAAAAACAATGTAATAGCAAAGAAAAAAAAAAGTAGAAGGAAACATCACATTGATTACTCACAGGTACACAATAAAGTAGTCGGCGCTCCCAAATTCGCATATCAGATGAAGCGTCAACAGGACATTGGGAAACATCGGCAAACTTATTTGTTCTCCACTTGTCACCATCCTGACAGAGGTATGAAATATATAAATCGCAAGTTGCGACCACTTGAAAGTAGAGGCAAAACCTAAATAGATTGTCAATTTTTACAAGATAACAAGTGTACCTTGTAAGCACCAACATAGTATTCATTGCCCAACATGTCTTGTACCATACCACGAAAGCGAACAAGTGTGTTAGGCAGAACCCATTTAACTGTTGATGGGTTAAGCAATGGCACCTGACAACAAATTATGGTCAAATAGAAAAAATCAGTCTACAGTCATTGCATGTGAGAGCCACATAAAGATATAAGCATACGACCTAAACTTAAATCAAACGTGACAGTTTAATAGATGTAGGGTTTAGACTAACAATTAGCTTTACAATAGAAAGCTCGGATTCAGCATTTCCAGAATTTTCCACGGTACAACCATTGAAACAAATACACAACATATAATTATATTAGCACTGCTCACGAATTGCACCGTTCGATTCGAAATCCAAGGAATAAGGACAAAGGGTAGGATTACAAAACTGAAATCCTAAAAATGAAAATGAAGGAAACAACGGCTAAGGTTGTAACATAAGCATCTACTGTGAGGAGAACACACCAACCTGAGAGAGACCGCCATCATCATATAGAAACTGACGGAAAAGATCGGTGGCGCCCCAGTCGTTGCCATCAAGTGCAGCCGGATCCGAGCCGGAGGCCACCACCTTCTCGAATGTCAACCGGACGGCTCCCAGTGGGTTTGCAAGGCAATCATATGGCAGCCCCACCATCTTCGATTTTTGCTTCCTTTCTTAAAGTTATCCTTCAATTCGAGATATTGATTGGTCTTTTGCTCGACCCCTAGGGTTCATAAGCCTTAAAATATGGCGATTGGGTGATTTTCCCGCGCTGGAGAACAATGTGTGTTTCCCGCCAAAATCTTCGCGCCTTTTTTTAATTAAATTGGATTGTTTTCGTCTAAATCATTATCATTATTATTATATTATATTATATATTATATTTTATTATATTATATTATATTACTATTTACTATTATTACTATAAATATAAAAGGACGAGTGTTTTTGTAAAAATATAAATATCTAAATCACTCTTACTTTGACATATTTTTAATGGTAAATTAGTATTACACCAATATCCATCTCTCTTATAATTTAAATTAATAACTATTGTATAATACTAAAACTTAATTCATTTGTTTTCACGTCGAATGTGATACCACTTGAGAAACATGATTTAATTTTGACCATATAATTAGGGTGTTGCTATTTGTTACCCAAAATTACTACTTGTTGCCCCAAAAAACAATTTAATAATAATTAAAATTACATTTTTGGCCTAATAAAAGTATTTTTCTACTTTTACCCAAATTACTATTTTTACCCAAATTGTTATTTGTTGTCCCTAAATTAATTGGACCCACTTTTACCAAAATCCACACCTTCATCAATCTCCTTTTTCACTTTTACCAAAATCCACATCTTGATCAATCTCATTCTTCCTCTTCATTAAAAATTAACTCACCAATCTCTACATTATTCTTCATTAATCCACATGTATAGTAATCCAACATCATCGGGAACACTTGCAAATGAGGTAAATTGTGTTAACCTTTTTTTTTTACATTGATTTTCACTCAAAAATAGATCTCTTCATTTTTCAGTGTGTGAGTTATTTTAGGACTTAGGTCATTAAACTCTCTTCATATATGTTGCATTAAACCAATGTGATGAGTTGATTACTATGGTAGAATAAATAAAGCGATAATAAATGTAGGTTAGTGTTTAAGTTCGTTCAGTAAACGTCCCAAGTAAAAGCTAGAACGTGGATTAAACGTCTGATAACTAAGCTTACATAAGATGTAAACATTTTATTATCAAGCTACATGACCCATAAAACGTCTAACTTGAAAGCCCGTCTGTTAAGAGAAACGTCGAGCTTGTAAGGGGCAACACTTAAGAAACGTAAATACTGAAAGCTTGGAAGCCTCTTAAACGTCTAAACCTAAAGCTTATATGCAGTTCAAACGTCCAGTTTGTAGGGGGCAACACTTAAGAAACGTAAATACCGAAAGCTTAGAAGCCTCTAAAACGACTAAACCTAAAACTTATATGCAGTTCAAACGTCTGAACTAAAAGCTTGTTTTTCTGCAACTGAATTTTATAGTTTTATTTGTTTATCACCTATATGATTAATAATTATTATTAATAGTTACTTTTTATGAAATGTGATAATAAAAATGTGTAATTTAACTATTTATAGGATGAATTTAAAGATTTTACAGATTATTTTGACGACGGGCAAATACATGAGAGTTATACTAAAGCTCTGCATTATTGCTACTTTTTTGCCATATACTTAGGGTATGAGCTGAAAATAGCTTCAAAGCATTTACCCACCAGTGAGCTTAGATGTAATCGGGCCAACATAAAGAAATCAGAAGATGGAGGGACTCTAAATCTAAGACAGAGAAAGAACACAAGGACCATTGTTTGTGGTTGTGAGTTCACGGTAATATTGGAAAACTTGACTCCAAATTTGGAGTTCCATAGTTGGATTATGAAATGTGATGAGAGTAGATACAATCATGAGCTCGCTGAATCTGCAGAGGGACATCGACAAATGAGCGGTTTTAGTGTTGGAGCAAAAAAACTTATTCGGTCGACGGTTCTTTCACAAACAAAGTCCCAAAACATATTGTTGGTTGTTCAACAATCATTTCCGGAGGACAACTGTCACATCAGACAAATTTACAACTACAAGGCAAAACTCCAGAGGGCCTCACTTGGGGAAAGGAGTATGATACAACACTTCTACAAGTTGGCTAAGGACAATAAATATGATATTCAATCACTTAGAGATCATGATACAAAGAAGCTAACTCATGAGTTCTTGGTCCATCCAAAGTCGAAAAAGACACTTAGCGCATACTCTTGGGTCATTGGCATGGACTCCACGTACAAGACAAACAGGTACGAGATGCCCTTGTTCCAAATTATTGGCATGACTCTTGGCAATATTTTTTTTTTTTTATTTACACATGCAATTTGAAGGATGAGTCAGCTAATAGTTATCGATGGGTGTTGAAGAACTTACGGATTCTGATTGGGAATGATGTTGAGCCCACAGTCATTTTAACTTACAGGAAGATGGGGTTGATGGCTCCAATTAAGGAACAATTTTGTAATGCCCCGTTTAATTGTAGATTATTTGGGGTATATTATTATTATTTTTATTGTTATTATTATTATTATTGTTATTTTTGTGATAATATTTATAGTTATTTTTCTTGAATGCCATGATATTTATTAATTGTCAAATGTGATTAAATGCTAAATGTGTAATTGTCTAATTGATTGTTGTGATATATTTAATTATTAATGTGTATTTAAAAATATGAATACATATATATATATATACATATATATATATTGTTCGGTTTATTTTTATCGCGTGTTTGCATTCGAAATCAAGCCCGAGAACTTTTGTTGGAACCGAATTTGGGCCCGAAAATGTCCGTTTAAATTTTAATCGAGCCCGTGAGCCGATTTGATGTCCTAACCGGTCCAAAATCCATTTGGCCCAACTTCTCGGGCCCGGCCCAACAGATTTTTTTTCCTCTTTTTCTTTCAGGCGTGCGTGTGTGTGTTTGTGTTTGTCTTGGACAACAAGACTTCATAACCTAATACCACATATATATATATATT